AATTGACAGCTGTCAAAACAGTGTATCCGCTGACCAGTATCACCTGTGTTTATGTCACTATGGCCCGCTATTACGATTTTGATTTCAAACAGGCCTCGGACGCGAAAATTCAGCCAGTTATATAAAACACAGGCGGGGAAGACCTTTCTTACCATCGTCACGCGTTGATCACGCTCTACGTCCAATTTTTATGCTCTGATAGCCTTTTGATATATTTTCTCACCGCAAATAGAACTGAAACAAAAGTTCCGAAGAATACTTAGTTATAAATTTGGCTGTAGAAAGAAAACTTTTGAGCGATTTTTTTGCCTTGAGTTCATCTTTGGAAAAAACAAACACCGGGAAGCTGGCTTAAAAGATAAACTTAAGCTTTAAGCTTAAAGACTAAGGATTTTTAGAGAGACTTTAATACTTGTCTTCGTGAATGAAAATTGTTGTCTCTGTAAATGTTTCACTGAATTATATTTCTTTTACTGATTTTTAGTCTATCTTGCAATTTTAATCGCGGTACCATTTATTTTCAGTCGTTCATGAACTTAGCTTGCAGGAGTACTCAAAATGCCGCGCGTATCAAACGCTTTTTAAGATTACACATCTTTATAGAACCATTAGATACAAAAAGAAAGATGTTCATTCAGACACGCTATTACAGCTCCACTGTAACTTTGGCACTTTTCAAGAGTGAAAACCGGCTGGCCGTACAGGTTTTCACTTTTGAGAGGCGCCAAATTTGCATTACGAGCTGTGATAAACTATATAGGTGATTTTGGAAATTTTTTAAACGGTTTCGCTAAAAGCCCACGATTGATCGTCCTGAATATTGACTGAGTGCAATTTGTCTCGAAAAGTTGCGAAATACTGCATTCCGTCCGAGGTCTGTATCATAAATAGTACTGTTTCACCTCAGAGGTGATGTATAAAAAGTATAAAAGGTTGGTTTACACACCCCTAGATTTGTTGGCAAGATTTTGTAAAGTAAACTTGTCGAACGCAAAAAATTCGGCCTGATTTGTTTTCCAAGAATTTTTTGACAAACCCAATCTACTGTGATCAAGAGCCATTATCGCTCTTGAATGTGATCGAAGATGATTGCCTTTTTTTGAGGGTACATATAAGGCTATCAACTCGATGTAAGATGTTTTACTCTAAAATCACTTAGCCTTTCCCCCAAAAGTCACATGAATGTGCCTTTAATTTAACCAATTTGTGGATTACAAGTTTATTGTTTGATTTAAATTACAAATTTATTAATGGGAGCCTCGCTTGGCCCTGGCTAAATCTATATATTAGATAATAGGTGTTGTGCATCAAGGGTGGTCGCTTACAAGAGAGTTGACTGTACACATACCGGTATCACTTTTACACATAGTGAACTAGCAAAATAAATAAAAAAACAAATAAAGTAACAGAGAGTTTTGCAAATTACCGCTTCTTTTAGACTCCGCCAGAAGGAATGATCATTTTTGTTGCACTCTTTATTTGAGATGGTGAGAGTCACGTTTATGACATTGGTTCCAATCACTTGAGGGAAATAACAGAAAAATATGTAAATAAATACCTAATAAAATATAACACTATATGATCGATACGAATTAATCTTAAGTTTAAAAACGCAATTTATGAGTATTTTAGGACCCATAAAGTTGTCAGGAAAAACAGGTTGGCTGTTGACTTAAGCAGACTCGGACATACGTCACCCCACTACGAGGGCCTTTATAGTAAACAGCCATTTCGATGTTTAGATAGACAACTCTCAGTGAAAGAAGTGAATTTAATTTCCAACCGACTATCCCTAACAAAAATACAAGAATACTCGTCCTCTCGGACAATAATAGAAGACTGCATTTTCCATCGATTGGTTGACTGATAGAGGAGGAATGCATTATGAGGCTACTTTTTGACAGTTAGTTGTTGCGACGTTATTAAAACTGACACTGTATCTGAGGATTCATGAGCTGTATTAATTCCACAAAACTTCTCGACTTTCCCAAAGTACAAACCTCAAAACAACAAGCTCACAGGAATAAATTGCAGTTTAGATTGCATTATATTTTCGAAATAAGAGTTCATACGCAGTGCGAATCCCAAGTTCTGCTAAAAATCCAATGCATTTCTTTCAAGAAAATTTTAGATATGATTAAAGAGATCCGAACTTTGTACTGAAGCACATTTAAGTTGACCTTAGCTTTTCAGTTACACTACACAAGAATAAACAGTGGGAGAGAAATCACATGGGCAAACAGATAACATTTTTTGTATTTAAAGTATTACTGATTTGTTGCAGCAGCCCCCTCACCTGGGCCCAAAGTGATATTGACATTCATACAATGAAAGAGTTTGGGGAAACAGTGGGGACACACGGCATACTGTTAACATTTTTTGAAAATGAAAATAGTTTGGCTTTTAAAGGATCAATAAGACAAAGGAATTTCAAAAACATTGTGCTAACAAGGCGGGAAATAATTAATGGCCAATAAAATGTAGTTGTAACTGTACAAAAGAACTTCAAAAAAATTATTCTAACAAGGAGGAAAATACTTAATGGCCAATAAAATGGAGTTGTAATGTACTCTTTAATTCAGGGTTTTGTTTCATGCTTCCCCCGCACCCACTTCCAGACCTTAAAAAAAAATGAAAACCAGATCTTGGGAAATGCAATTTTGAAAATTTAGGTTAAATGAAAATCACGCAATGCTCCTAGGGGGTGTCTACCAACAAAAAATGCCAGGGATACATTAATGACCATTAACAACTTGACACCAGGTTTTTTATCTTTCTGTCCTTTCATTAATGATAAAGTTTTGGCCTTAACTATAACAAAAAAATGTCAATCTTGTTGATTCACAATACTTTGACAAAGTTATGGAGTAATATTCTCATCAATGGAAGGGTAAAATGGTGTCAATCTTAGAACTGAAAAAAAAATTATGCACAGAAAGCTGGCACACATAAAAAAAAAGACTTACCAAGGCTGGTGCTTGCTTTATCATTGCCCACACAGTTCTTCGCTGTACAGGTATATATCCCATCATTTTGAGCTTTTAAAATATTCAGCATGCTCTGATCACACACATTTTCTTGAGCATTACATGGAGTCCATGTTATTGTAGGTGGGGGGTATCCTTTAACCTTGCAGTCAAGCGACACACTTTTTTCTCTCCCGACATAGTACTTATTTTGAAGAGTGATATTTGGAGGAACTGAGATGAAAAACAGTTTTCAAGTGTTATTAGACACATTTTTGTCCACTGAAAGATTAGCTACATGTACATGTACTGTTGACAATATTTGGAAGATATTTGCCATATTGAACCAATGACGTCAAAGGTGCAGCAAATAAAAAGTTGCAGATTATTGAACTATTAACCAAGAAGACCTGGGGACCAGTTTTCGAACTAAAAAAGTCAGTAATGTCGGAACATCAATCAGGGGGTGTTAAATTACAACTATTAACGTCAAGGACAAAGAGAAACCGAGGATAGATAGAGAGCGGTATACAAATCAAATGTTGCGACTGCCAGGTCCTTTACATTGGTGAAACTGGCAGAAACCTTAGCATGCGATTGACTGACGCAAATGGTGGACAAAAAAATGGTGACGTTACGATAACATTATATTGCTGAGCACGATTTAAAGAACATTAAATCACCTGAGACTCAGTGAAATTCAGATGGTTATCAACGACTCTCTTTAGAAAACTGGTTTATTAAGTTATAACAAACGCCACTGAACTTTAGTCAACAGTTACCGGCACCATAATTATAAACAACTTATTTATGGACACAAGCAAAACTAACCATGAGAGAAGGACTGGACAACCGACAATTTGGGTGACAATCGACAATCGAAATAAGGCAACAATGTATCTCGAGTCTTCTTAGCAAACAGCATTACAGCTTAACTGAAAGACGGCTAATAACATCGCGACCTAATTGACCAATCAGGTCAATAACCAACGCCTAAGACCATCAACTGATGTGATACAAATCAACTTGACTCTAAAGATAACTACCACCCAGCCTATTGAAATGTCAATAACAGTCCTGTTCAGGGCTACTAATGATATCTACATATATTTATCAGACAGTATGACAGGAATAAAATAACAGATGCGAGATGAGATGATTATAAGAATACTGAAAGGCTTTGGTGAAGTCTGCAGTGGTCACAGGAACTTAGTTTATAATTATTATGAATAGAAGGAAATACAGTAATTAATATAACTCATTTGGTCAGTCATTTACCTCAGCTATAAGAATTCAGCTACACTGTACAGTTAACTTACCAGTATTGTTTTTTTGAATGGTAGTAGCTGAGTGTTTTATGCTAGTTGGAATCTCCTCCCAGCTTGGTTCTGATAAACTTTTTATTACTTTTATTATTTACTGACTTGTCATACTTTGATCTTACATGTGGTACGTGTATATGAAAATGTTTAAGATTTGAAGAATAACTTGTGTTGAATGAATGAACCATAGAAATCTCTTAACCCTGAAACTTTAATGCATGTCTGACTTTGCAAGCTATATTTTGCATCTGGATCAGAAGGCTGCAAGGTGCCCAACCTAAAAAATGGCTTTTTGTAAGTTTCAGCTCTTGATATTACCATGTCCAGAAAAAGGCTTGACTTTAGATTAAGAAAAAGTTTTTCCCGCAAGATCCTTAGTTCTGAATTATGGGTAGTAAAGGGTAGACATACACAGGTACACCACTGATTCATTTATGGTACAAATATGCATGCAAAGGCAACCATACCACATACATGCATAAACTGCAATGCCTTGAAAAGATCCACTTATGGAAAGAGTTAATAAAAACACGAGTTCAAAAGTAAGAACTTTCCCAAGCTTCAGATGCATTGAGAACCTCCTAGATTATAACCTTGTGATTATTAAGTGCATGTGCTATCGCAACAATTAAAGCTCCGTTACCCTTCCATACGTACATGTACAGCCATACATGTACTAGTAGTATAGAAATAAGTATACTACATGCTTATACATGTACTCACATGCTACATTAACTCGTAGTGTACGACTCACTGGATTTCCTACTCCATTGCTAGCTATACAGCGGTAAGTGCCAGCCTCAGTCCTACTAATTTTTTTAAAATTCCAGGTGGTACCCCTGTGCAGTACATTACTCTCACTACTACTTGGGAAGATTCTCACCCAGGTGATATTTGGAGCTGGTCTGCCAGATGCAATGCAGAACAGCTGCAGATCTGAACCCTCAAGCAAAGGTTTGTCACTACTTACATTGGTGATGGTAGCTGGGACTAAGACATAATAACAATGTCAATTTCAAAATGATTATTTTTTATTTTTTAAGTCATGTTTCATATAAATAAATGAACAAGTACAAAATTAATAGCGTTGAGTACAGTTTATTGGTGGATAATAATATTAATTTGGCACTTCCAATGTAGTGACTGGCAAATTCAAATTCAAAAATCGACAACGTCATCGTCCTAAAAATAGTATAAGGCAATTATCATGACGTGCAATTTTGGCCAAAAAACATCAATTTTGTATAGAAAACTAGGGATTTTCAGCTTTTCAATTAAGATTTTGAATCAATAAAATAATTAGAATTACAATAATATTCTTTTACCTTATCTATTGCACTTTGTTTTCATTAACTTCCATTGCAGTGTTGAGTTCAACAAATTAATCTGCCACTATGTACGTGAATGCATGAGGGATTGTGTTACTAAATGAACAGTACAATTTAAACAATAACCTTGTAGTTACCTACAACAGCCACGTTAATGTTGCGCTTCCATACTTTCACATTAGCAGCAGTCACCTGACAGCTATACACCCCTTCATCAGCAGTAGTTACATTGAAAATGATCAGAGTTACATGTACACTGACCCAGGTTACATTGAGTCTGGAGGATAAGGCTTGAGCTACTGTAACTGATGACATTGATGGTGTTATTGTGGCTAAACCGGAACCATCAATTTGTAAAAGTACTAAAACAGGATCCTGTGCTAGACTAAACGTCCAGTTCAGCCGTTTGTTAAGCGACCCTGTATAAAGCTGTACGTTATTTGTGTGAACCAGTATATCATCTGTTACAGTCTCAACTGGAGGGGGCTCATGCCAAGTGATACTTTGGGCATCTGAATTGAAGTAATGAACATTTTAATCAATTATAACCACTACGTAATTTTGACGAATAGTTTATTACTTCCTAAGGTAATCTTACATGTAGGTCTTATGCATTAATTCGTGAGCTATTTTTCAGTGGTCCAAGCGTATGTATCTTTGTGGATTTGTGGCTTTTTCTGTTCGAATGTGTGTTGCACGGGATAATAAGGTTGAAGGTCCTATGAGGTACTATGCTAGGAACCAATGAGATTTTGGCATCTAAACATGACATTGCTGCGCTTAAGGTCAAACACAGACTGCGAGCAGTCTCTTATTTTTCTTTGCAAAGTTGCTGCACAAGAAACCCAAGCACGCGAGCCGCGATAAACGAGGGCGTAAGCCCGAGAAGAAAAAATAAGAGACTGCTGACTCCTCTGCAACGAAACTGTCAAGATAAAATTAATTAACCAATTACCGATAAACTCGATTAACTTGAAACGATTTATAAATAGAACATAAACAACTGAAACATTTTACTCTTTTCTTAAATCCGGTAAGATATTGCCTTGAATTCCCTTCCCCTGAGGAAATTTACAGCAGTTTCCTTCTGTAAGATACCCTTAAACGTTGTAGTTGACAAGCGATCATCGCTAGGTTTGTAATTGTTCGTAGTTAGTTTCTGACACGTGACTATTCTATCGCTTGCATCTCCACGACAGACCAGTCAATGATCTATCAACAGCTGTAAAACTGACCAATCGGTTGGAGAGTTTGTTTACAACAAAACTAAGAGTCCGCAGTCCGTCTTTTCTCGTCTGGTCCTAACCCCTAATTGTAACATAACGTCGTGGTTTGCAATCGCGCTGGCTGAGATAAGAACTAGACGGATTTTAACAGAAAAGGCGGACTGCAAGCAGTCTAGGTTAAACAGGGGTACTTAGAGACCGCCATTTTGGTTCTTCCCAATTTTGTCGTCTTTTCTTACGGCTTAAGGTGTTTAGAAGCATAGCATTTAAATATCTTCGTGGTTCAAACGCTGAGTACAGTGTTGCAGCTGTTTAAGGGTTCATATTTTCATATTGCGAACGGCACAACGACAACGTACGTGAACTATGTTTCATCCAGTTCAAAGTGAGGTACAAAACATCATATTTTTCAAATGAGACGTTAATAATTGGTACTTAGATATTGAATCTAACTCGGAGGTATGCGGCGTAATTGTGTTTTTAGACGTTTGAACAAGAGCTAATTTATTTCAAAAGCTGTACCAAGTTAATTCCGTAAACATGCTTTATTCTACCTCGTACAAAGTCCAACAGACCTTTAAATTCGCGTTCCAGGAACTTAAGTGCAACCATGGTGATAAACGTTTGCTGTCATAAAAGTACTTAAAACGTATTTAATTTACCCTTTGGTCACGTAAAAATGCGTAACTTTTGCGTTAGCAAATAAACTTGGAAGTAGTCAGTTGACGAAATAATTAGACGTTGTTTCATTGAGTGACATAACTTAAGATGAGTAGAAATCAGTATTTCGGCAATTTGACAATCCTGATTGAATGATGCATAATTTTTAAGGTGTTTCGATAAAGTTTTTCAGAGGCCATACCGATATTTTTCAATCGCCTTAAAAGTGGTTTTTTCCTTGTCCGATCGCTATAAAATTTTCACCAGTGATTGGCTATGGATTGAAATTTGTCAAAATGTAGATTTTAGTAACTCGATATTACTATCACAACAATAAACAAAAAACTTTGAAAATGATAAAAGCCGAATTTTGTGTGATCTAGACCAGCAACTGAAAATCCAACATTAGAAGCTTAAATTTTATCATGCTGCTGATTAGGACACCGTGACTAGATTATATAGTTTTAAAATCAATTATAGCACGTTGAAAAAACAGCTTCAGCTGTGACAATCGCCCACGACCCGCGACCGTGGCAGTTTACACCCGAGATAGGACCGGGATTCGCGCGCGCGAAAATAATATACTTCCTGTTTTGTGAAGCTGTACTTCCGCCTTGCATTTTGCATGAAAAGTTTACGAACTATCAAACAGTCTATACAGATAGGCCAACATTATGTAACGGAATGAACATAATGGAATTTATGTTGGGACCAAAGATAAGCTTATCAGCAGATAACAGTTAGGGAGCGGCACTGCGATAAGCAATTCGCTGGGTGGCCTCTGCGGTATATTACACGGTCTTTTATCTGTCACGTGCAGAGTCATCAGCTATGTAAAGGCTGCAACACGTTCTTCCCGTTTTTCTGCGACCCAGTTCAGCGAGCACATCTCAGCGAAAGTGAAAGTCTGTCCCTTCTCATTTTGTCCCACCACCCCCCACAACGCCTCCTTGGTTGTTTTCTAATCTTGTTTTTATTTTTGTGCGGGCGTAATTTGCCCCCACCTAATTTTTCGTAGTGATTTATAATTTCGTTATAACAGTGTACTATTGTAATCACAACTTGTTTGTGATTTTTGTCAATTAAACGCCACTTAAGTGGCCATTAAAATCCAGCAGGATCTCTCTATTTACTGACAGTAAGCGAAGGTCGTCGCATGCACACAAAGTTGCTACGACGTATAATTAACCTATTGAAAGGGCGTCCCACTTTATAAGCGTTTAAATCTTAATAAGGTTGTGTAAATGGTCTTTTGATATGAGAACTACATGTACGTACTATCTTTTTTGTGATCTGTGGTGTGACAGAATGACTTTGGAATGAAAAGTAAAACAATATTGCAATTGAATTTTAAGTCCTAATTAATGTTGCTAGCAAAACACTTAGGATAAATGCAAAAGGACAAGATGAACTGTTGCTTTACAAAGCCGATGCTCAAGCCAAATATTCACCTCCGAACAAGCCGATGCTCAAGCAAAATATTCATTTCCGAAGTAAGTTCATAGCAAACAATCCTCCAGTCTCAATGTCATTGGGTCAGAAACAGAAACGAAGCCTGTAAAAAGTTTTCAGCTAAATGTACTCACCTATCTGAAGTAAGAATAGGGATGAAACAGTTGTATACAAAGTCATCCACATGACCGCTTCCAAACTCGCACATAGGGGAAGATATTTACTACCAGATGACAAAATGTTATGTTCAAGGAATCGAAACTTCAGCGGGTATCAGCACAGATCGAACAAAGGAGACTTTTGTATGATTGACTGTTTGATTTTGTAGTGTTCAGTCTCCTCACCGCGCACAAGTGAGTAAACAAAGATGGCTACCAAAGCGAATCGTTCGTTCAAGATGGCATGTACAGGTTTACAAAGTGTGATGTCTTTCTTTTAGCCAAGAGTACTTATAGGGGTGTTGACAAGATTTTTAACATGCGTATATTACTGAGTGCGTTGCAAAAAAAAACTCATCTGAACCAAAGTACATCGACTGGGATCGGAAAGTTTTAATTTACAAAATGCTACAATTCAGAGTCTTTTTTGGAAGAGGAAACGTATTTTTCCACTTCATTGAAACGTCCTGCCGACCAGGAGAAAACGGAGAAAGGTAAGCTTATTGTTTATGTGGTATGTTCTATCACTCAAACTAACAACGTCTTTATCTTCATATTTACATTATTGTGCGTCCAAGTGGAAAATTTGGCAGCTGGCACCTCTTCATGAATATAATGTGCTGTTTCTCAAAGTCCTGGGAGCAGCCACTCAACAACATTTTACAAGGGGTGGTTTCGCCCCAAGTTGCCTACATTTCTCTGCACCCTTTGAGGTTGTGCAAACACATAGACCAAACCCAAGGTCCAATGGCTTATTCTTTATTGCTGACAGGAAAGGTGTTCCTTTTCTCTCTTTCCCCCCTCCCCATGTGCAAACCTTTTTTTTTAAAAAAAAAAATTCTAGCCACTTGATGAATAAAAGGATATACCCTCCCCCCAAACACCAAACCTGTAAGAACAGACCAGTAGTAGAAATCAGAGTGGGCAGTGATGTTGTATAACTAGCTTTGCTATGATAGTATCCACTTCATTGTACATACACTGTATATACTGCACCTACTACTAACTAGTGCTCCACATTGTGCAATGAAGCTGGTGCCGCATGCTTCCAACTCCCACTGTTAGCTTGGAGATTATTTACATTTTTGCTGATTACTTTAGACTCTTGCACTCTTTTGGAATTCAACCGCACGACCTTCACCCCACTTTTTGTATATTACGGAACACCCAAAACAAGGTATCAAATGTTGACAGTAGATAGTGTATACACGGAAGAGTTACTCATTGATTGACATTTCCATATCAAAAACGAACACAAAAGTCTCAAGGGTTGGAACCCAAATTTTAATTTTCACGTAGAACAAAACTTAACTTAATAAATCCCAGCCTACGACTTTCCGTAAAATAACAGGGATTGACGCTAAACGTTGTGGTGATATCGCCATCTTTGTTGATGTTATGTGTCTACCAGTAGAGCTTTATCGACCGAAAAAATACCGTAAAAAACGTGAACAATGATTTTCTGTCTTCACGTTGAGTTTGTTTTTATATTAATGTCCTTTACCTGGCTTACCGACGACCTGTTGAAGGATAATCCTCCTTCAAAGTTCGGGTGATCAATTTTTGCCGCTCAAATTTGCTTGTTCTGTGGAAAGTACGAAAAGCCGAAAAACCTGGGAATAGTTCAAGCATGTGCAGACAAAAGTCACCTTTGTTCACAGATCGACAATAAAACAAACTGCCGCACCAGGTTCTTCTCGTTTTTCAATATGGCGGCGCACAGTGATCTCCATACTTTGGTACCCTATTTATGCCTCGGTGTTCTGGGTATCCCCGGTACCATCCGAGGATACCTAGATGACTAGTGCTTTGGGTATCCAGCGATATCCCAAAATTGTTTCTCTTCGCTCAGTGCACTGAACAGCTGTTCACTCCCTATATTTCAATATATAAGCCTAAGATATCGAATTTATCGATGGCATTCGAAGATATGCGTCCTAATGCGACTTTTTTAAACTTAATTTTATGCTGAATCCACCGAGTTTTGCAGGAGTTTATGTGTTTGTTACAGAATTAGTCT